TTGGGATTGCGTGTCGCAGTCCAACACACTAGGTGCCTTATAACCCCTCAGTCAGGAATGTAGTCTGTTTGACAACTGCTGCTAGGGGAACTTCGCCTGAGTTCGCAGGCTTAAAGCTCCTTATGTATTGGATCTCAAAACAAACCTTCGTTTCGGTGGCTGGTTCCGATAATGCCGACCTATGGCATGCTAACGTGTTTGTTGAGTGCAAAGTTAGGCGTGGAGGAGCATCTGAACTGTGATTAGAAATGCTCAGCCCAGCTAACTTTGCATCTGCTTTAGTTAGTGATTTGCGAGCTGTCTGCTTCACAGATGACCCCGCTGATACCAGACCTCATGTGACCATTGACCCAAATGAGCTAGAATAACCTGCGAGTATTTTCAGTGAAAGCGGCGTCCTCTATCTCTGAGGCACGTTTAGTACCACCATAAATCTCGATCGCCGCGATGACTTTAGTTGTGTTGTCGGCTGACGGTACAACGAATTACACTATGGTGTGAGTTTAATTGAAGAGTTCTGCGGCGGTCTAACAATGTCAGGGAGCACGCAGAGATCCAACCTGTTGAGCGGCAGTAAGTTAGCCCACAAACTGATTAGCTTTAAATTCCATCGCGACGAGACTGAACCTTAACGCCGCGCATTAGTTTGGGTGACTCAGCGATCCATTAGGCCAAGCTGGGTGGTGCTTTTTCACCTTCAGAGCCCCTCATACCATATTACCCAGTGGTTAGAGTCCATACAAACTCAAAACTCTTGAGGATACGGGAAAGGACGACAGACTCAAGAGAATTAGGCTAACATCATAAAACAAAGTGTGTGTGAATGTCAGTGTGAGGGTCTCACTTATACGATAAGCGTCTCCAATGGAATGGAGTCCCGTTGCACAAGCAGTGCCTAAGGACAGACAGGGACCACGTAAACCCCACAAGCGGCTGATTGCTTCGGCTGGCATGTTTGTCAGGATGCGGGTGAGCGCGTACGGACCGATGTCTTTATATCGGCGTGCCCGAACACCTTCACCAGTACGGACGATCTCGTGCACACCCTCCAAACCAATACCGATATGCACACCTGTTGAGAAAACAAAAGGCCCGGAACTGAGGCAGAACGTTTAGTTCAGTTCAGTTTAACAACTGTCATCTACGCAACAAAGTGGGGTGCATCCGGTTTCCTTACCTCACATCGCTGACAGCGAAAGAAGAAAAGCATCAGATGTACGTTGCACCGATGCTACGCGATAACCACCAAACGCGCACAGACTAGGATTACTGGGAAGTTGCACGCGCCCACGACGTCATAGCGAAAAAGTATTAACAAGCCCAGAAAATTGGTAGAAAAATAAAGATAAAAACGAATCATTAATGCTAAGGAGCATCACTGGCCCAGTGACGGCGACATCCACATTAAGGTGGCCAACCAAACATGTGGCCGGTGCATCAACGATAGCCTCTCAGCTCTTCTGTGAATTTCTTCATATGCTTTTGCCACAGCATTGCCTGGTCACCTCGGGGTTACACTCAATCAGGCACAGAATCGACAAACAATGCACGCCAAGGTAACTGGTTAGCACGCATACGGAGAGATTGGCGGAGCTGTCGAAAGCGATTCTAACTCAACAGGCAGATAAAAGACGCGTCGGGAGGTTTGCCGCTAAACTGCAAACAATGAACTTCAGTACTACTCATTCGGTCCTCTCATTAGATATCAGTAATATATGGCAGCTATCAGTGACCATTGGTGAGTATTAGGGGTCTGCCGTCCTTACCCATGGTTCAGTGGCATAAGTCACTGGCACATAAGAAAAAAGAAAGAAAGGCATTTGCAGTACACCGGTACGCAGTACCGACGCTTCTCTGCCGCGCAACCACTACCAGTCGCACGTGGGCTAAGGATACTGCGTGGGTCGACCTGCTACTACGCAGGCTCGAACCCGCCCCTTCCTATTTTCATGAGAGACTTGTGATCCTTAAGTCCACTGGCCTGCTCTTTTCTTCATGGTTGGTCGGAGATGTGAACTTGAGGACAGTTCTTTAGTCTTGCATCCGTGTTTCAAAAAGCCAGTGTATATTAGTAGCCAGGAGATTCAGAATACTTGCAATACCGGCCTGTTGACTGGCGAGAATGGGTGTGCGAACATTAATGTTCAACAGTTTAAACGAAGATCGGTGTCGTGAATAGCATTAGGCCAATCTTAATATGCAGTGGCGAAACTGACATCTGGATTTTAACGCTTCCTACAGGGATTAATAAGAAAGCAATATTTTTGATGTGACGGAGTTTGGTAAGAAGCGACAGAGATCGGAACGAGTTAGTGAATCGTAGTAATAGTGTAGTCTATGTTTTTGCAGTGGGCACGATGCTATCCGATTCCGTCGCAATGAGACGAGTTTATCGTGACGCGATGTTTTGCGTGTCCTTGTGAATCATTGAGCTGTGTTGGGTGGCGCTTCTTTCTCCTTCGGTCATTCAAATCAGATTGGTCAGTTCAGGTTTTGGTTTTTTCTCCGCGCCGAACTATTTCGTTGCAGATATTTCATCACCAACCGAAGTGACTTCGACTCGGAGAACCAACCAAAACCTGAACAGGAAACGCGAGCTATATGTATTCCGCTTTATTGTTAACAAATTGTTCAGTGTTTATGGCCTAGACATGCTCAATCTCCTGATCGTCCGATGAGTGAGGATGTCTTCTTAATAGTTAAAACTGACTCCCTGTAGCCCAGTGTCAAAATCCCGCTGTCTTGCTGCCAGATTTTCAGATCAAAAGCTTTGGTTGAGAACTCGGATCGTTCTCCTCTTTAGGTTTGGGCAACCTGCCAGTATCCTATCCACAGTGAACTTCTCTTTAAACAGTTTTGGTGCTCTGACCATCGCAAGGGATCACCAATGGTGCATCATCTATTGCATTGACTTGCGTAGATTGGAGTGGAAATGTTACTGTTCACACGTTCCTGTCTTCTTCTCCACTCTATTTTTTCATCTTTATCGTCCGGTAGCAACTCTACTTTTATCCCCTTTTGTTTTCAATCCCCTAATACTTGATCCTTCATCACATTTCCCTGATAGGCGTTCGTCTTCTATTTTCAATTCTCACAATTAGCATGCGCCTTTATCGTATCTTCCGATGTTCTGACGATTGTTACACCAACGATGAGCTTTTTTCTCTTTCCCTTCTCTGGCTATATTGGCCATGATCCGACTGCATGTTACACATCGTATCTCCGAAGGTTTATTTCGTGTTTCTGTTCTTGTCCGTATAGTGTACTGTCTGACACTTGATGTCACCACATCGACCTGTGTGTAGATTAAACACAACTTTTCCGGTAGTCCGAGCTTTTCGCCTTATATACTCCCTCTGACCATTTTCACGTCATCGTTTGTCAATCAGATCGCTGTTTACAACTGGTTCCAACCATACGTCACAGTTCATAGATGGTTATCACGATTCTCTATGTGATTTAATGTCGTGTTTTTTCCTCTGTCTAGCTGATGCATACAGTTTGGTTTCACCAGAGCCGACTGGAGATGGAGCCTATAGAAGCATGCAAGCGGCGCTCATGGATGCAAAGTTGGACAGTTTAGACCAAGTAAGGGAGTGAGTTCCAGTCTCAATCAGTGCTGTGTTGTTCGTTTCAATCATGCACATCGTGTCAACTTACCCTTTTGTTGACTTTTATCTCTGGACGTTTCAACTCATTTCACGGTTATTACTCAGCCTGAAACCTCCAGGAGGGCCCCATGTTTTCACGTTTGAGAGAATGTCATGACAATCATTAGACGAGCTCTTTTGTTTGCACCTCCGGTTCATCTGCACTGATACCAAGTTAGACAATGAAACTCCTGTGAATTAGCGAACATTCACGAGCGACTTGCCTGATTAACATCTGCGTCTTCTGGATTTACTTTTGCACAAGCAAGCTGTAGTCTGCTTTTCTCACTACCCATTATTAGCTATTCTAAATATAAAACCGTTGGTTCTTTTCAACTATTCAAGTAGCGCGGTAAGAAGACGAAAGGTGGTGGATGCATACATTTCCTATTGTCGCCTCAGTACCATCAACAATAACCGGCATGCGTTTATGTACCTAACATTGGGTACAACAATACAAGGTTCTGGCACAGAGTGGATGACATTGGCTCAGCCCCTTCGCCCACTACAGCTTAAGCTAAAGAAATAATTGTTTTTGAACACACCAGGCTGGCCTCATCCGGCTGATTGCGACACACTCAGCAAACTGAAGAAACCGAGAGGATTGGTGTGGCGAAACACAAGTTTGAATGCTGAGTCTAGATCAGTAGATGAGGAAAACAAGGCACCATGGATCGAATCGTTTACACTCACTTTGCATGTTGTATGCTTTCACGGAAATGAACTGGGCACTTGTTCCTAGTCAAGCTATGCGAAACAAAATAAAAATAAGCAAAAAGTGGCAAATGAATTCTACACAAAAACGCCGTGCAGGATGGCAGGTTGCACTTAGAAAGGAACATCTCGGAACTACCAGTTTTACTCGGTGATAATGCTCGATCACTACCTGGAAAATTAGAAGACCTCAGAACTATTATAATAGGTCGCAAATATTCTCGTTTGGTCATCATTATGGTGCAGGAAACCTGGCTTCACATTGCTTTTCAAAATGCAGTTGTGTAACTCGACGGATTTAACTCTTTACTACTTGACCGCCAATGTACACAGAGGAACCGCGAAGGTGGCGTCATCATTTACCTAAATTCTTCACAATGCCCATCTATTAAAAGCGTTTTTCAATGCAGTTCGCGACGCATCAACTGTCTACTCCTAAAATGTAAACTAAGTCTATTGGCTATTGGATGTCCTTGTGGGAATGCTAAACCTCAATTTTTGTGACAAAGGCAGTACTTCATTATTTGATATGTTCTCTGCTGGGTTACAGCTAGCCTCAGATAACCCTCCTCTGAATAGCCTAGAAGTACACAAAGGATTAACTGGGCTGCAGATGAACAAAGTATCTGGTCCGAATAAGTCATCTGTGTTTCTCAAATGTGCAGATTACCTGACCGAGCCCGTCGCTATACTTCAAACAGCACGAGATAGCTGACATTTGGCGAAGCGCAAGCATTACACCGTTGCCGAAGAAAAGAACCTGCAAATATTGGCCAATCTCATGCATGCCGGTTGTTCCTACAACATTCGACAGGCTTATTCTTAAAAGAATCTCAGCACAGACCCATTTAGATGATCCACATCGGTTTACGTATCGCAGCTTAAGGTTCACTTTAGATACAGTAGCTTGTTTGGTACATGCTGTGCTCTCGTTGCTGGATAATAATGACAAATCCATCCGCATCTGCTTCCTGGATTTTAGCAACGCTTTCTGTTGTTTGAACCGTGAACTAGTGTTACGCAATCTCTTAGGTTCTGGAGTCCAAACTTCTGTGGTTCTTCTGTTGAAAGATTATTTTACTAGCCGTACCCAATTTACCAGGTTAATGGTGAAAAATCCTCAATCACCACGAGCTCTGGTGTGCTTCAGGGAGCCATTTTGTCCCCATTCTTTCTTCCCACTTACGAAACTTAAATTCCCGTCTTTTTGAAGTATACGGCCGATGTAATCCTTGGCGTCCAACATCCAAGCAGAGTCATCGACCAAGCTACAAACCGTAATGGGCAGTCTCACAGCTTGGTCCAAAGCCCATTGCCTACCGTTGAACACCTCAAAATGCAGCGATGTCCTTTTACGCTGTTCAAAGGAAATCGCTGCCAGAAAATCCTGACACAGTGTCCCCAACTTTGAACTGACGGTGAATGTTTGACCTCTTCTACTTCAATCACATACCTGGGTGTGAAGCTGAGCAGTGGGCTTACGTGGTCCCTTCACATGAACAAAACATTCGCTAAGATTATAAGACTCATCCTATGTTACACGTCTAAGGTCTTCTACCGTACGCCGATTTTTGATTCAGCATTTTATCACTGCATGTGTGTTACCATTTTTTGGTCTCCTGACGAAGGACCTTAAAGTAATTGCCAGATCAGTGACGTATCTATCTCAGTGTAGTGGAATTTCAAGGATAGAAATTGTCAACATCTTTGTTGCCAACCATGTCAACTCTTGTAAACCTTTTGCATCTAAAGTACTCACAGATGTTAGTCATCCTCTCCACAGAGCTTTTCCCGAATTATTATCAACCTTTTTCTCGACCAGACATATCTACAAAACTATATACGCCCGCACAAAAGCCTATGGTACATCTGTAGTACCTTTCATGTCACCTTTTTTGGCGATACGCATCAGTCATTCAACAACTGATTAGTAAATTGCTCTAGCGACAGTTGCTCTGCCGAGTCTTTTTCAACGATCGTGGTTTTGTATTTATCTGCCTGTACTGTCCCTTTTCATTATTTATCCTATTCCTTGGCGTGTGTGTTAGACCTGAATATTCACCCTTCTTGATTTTCCTTAACAGTAGTACATCGTCACGTCATACCAAGGCTTCGCTATTGCGCGTCCACCATCAGTCGCTTGCTGGCTGTGAACACTGCAAGGTCGCTCGCATGTTTGCACATTCGGACCGGTCACTGTGGGCACTTGTCGCTTTGCAATAACGCGGAATATCAGTAGTTAGGGTTGTCGTTTGATTTACTCATCCACCTGGGTATGACGTTGCCTATAACACCTACGCCGTCAACTTCGGTGTTCAAGTAGGCCTCCGGCTTGCTCGGCCTGTCGACAAAGGTCTGAGGTGGCCACGTTGTCACCCAAAGCTGTGCGACTGTTGGGGTGGTGCACGTCTTGTTTTGTCCTCGGTTTAGCCCTACTGGGTACGGCCTTTGTAACATGTCCCACAAGTGTCGCAGAACTCGGTTCTTTAGGGACAAACACCATTCGGCAAAGTGAGCTCAGCACATATGACAGCATGACAAAAATAAGCATGTCAGTACACACAGAAATAGAGGAAATCCACACTTCGTTTGGCGTTGAGCTGGAGGGGTAGCATGGGCAGCCCCACAGTCGATTCACCTACCCTTGTCAGTGATCCAAACATCGAATCTAAGGTATGCATCCTTGTACGAATCTTCGCCGTTCATCACCACCGACGAGTTTTGACCTTCTGACGTTAGCTGTACTACGTACGAAGTGATAGCAATCTAATTAATAAAGCTCATTCTTATCAGGTCTATGGAATCAGGACTCATTGTTGTGTGGGAGGACAACCTTCGCCGCGCCCTTTAATGCATGATATTTGGGAAACAATGGGACTGTCATTCCAATGCCATGTACCATAAATTCATGAATGCAATCCTAGCTTTTGCGGTAACTGGAACTGTCTTAGCATTCACAAGCATGTTACCGTTTATGCTGCTTCCAGGCTACTTGAAATATCTCTTGTTTATCATCAGATTCCAGAGGGCAAACACACGGTTGAGAATCTTGCAATAACACTTCACGCTTTCAAACTTTGAGGCGTATACCAAATAATGGAATCGCCATGTTGTGTTTGTCGAAGCTAGATTGTGCTAAACCAAAGGGCAGAGTTCTTGTAGATGAGTTCGGTCGTGGTTCGCCTTGCAACACTTCACCGTAATAGTTCACTACTATGCAGTCCACGTTAAGTTTGCATCAGTCTGGAAATAGTACAGTATTGGTCAACTCCGCAAAGCACCGCAGAGGTTTTCGAGCATAGGATGCTCAGCAATTGAACTATTTCATGGAACTGAGGGGTCGAATGCGTCTTGGTTCAAAAATACACATCTAGAATAGAGAGACCGAAACTGACTCAGGCTCATCTCAGTCAGGAACTGAGTGCAGCACCATTGTCATCGTTGACGTCCGACTAATATCGTGGTAGAGAACATGAGCGTTGCGTCCGTTCTTTGAATGATTAGCCCCAGTTGATAGGAATGACCTCGAACAGTTGGGTTAATTCTTAGCGACTGCACATTGATAATCGAGTGCTCTTACCTTGTGTCGAACATCGGATTAATCTGAAGTCTGTAAACTTATTTACTATTGGTCAACGTGCGCTACCTGAGCACTAAGAGTTGCAGGAACAAGAAGTTAACCGAAGGGATCCTGAAAGCGCACCACCCAGAGTTTCTTCTCGTAAACGTGCAGGTGCCGTTCCGGATTACTTTATTAACAGTTGGTTCCCTGAAACCTGTGTCACAGCTTAAGCGACATGCGGAATTAGACGCACTGCTCTGCTTAAATTTTTAAGCCTTAGGAATCTACCGTGCATTTTTGTCAGTTATGCTGCTTCTCCCTTAGATCACACCTGATCGTGTTTTGCTCTGCTCCCGAGGAGACCCATCATACCCACCGGTCCTATGAGTATGGTAGGCAGCAGCCGGTTCCGGATTTGCCTATCACTGTGGCCTCCATAGGACCGCAACAGGACGCCTGCGCTTACAGAGAGACTATGGATGGTTTGCGCTACATCACCCATAGCTCTGTCCACGCACCCTATATCTAGTATAGACTCAAAGGAATAAGACCGGGAGGCATGCGGATGGGAGCCAAGTTTCATCAACGGAGCCGGCCCACACTCCTTCACAGGCAAACACAAAAACGCTGTAGTTGGACAACCACACACTAGGCGGTGTCTGGGATGTAGTCCGCTCCACCCTGGATGGAACCATTCTTCGAGCCTAGCACAGCCAAAGGAACCGTACACCCATCCGCTCCCCAGCAACGATTCACAGTCTTCTGAAAGCAGTAATCGAGGTGGAAGCAGTTTGACAAGTAGGCACCTTGTCAACATACGCATCAAGCACAGCCGCACCGGGAATGTCAAGCAACATCTAGTCACTTGAAGTGGCGATATCAAATAAAATAAATCCATTAAAGCATACAGATACATCAACATAACTTTTCGCTAAATGAGCATGTGAAATAAATCAGTTATCGACAAATCCCAGATAAGTTCGCGATGTCAGAAAAATATATTAGAGAATGCCACAAATGCGAAAAAGCTGACGAAATTAACCACAATTTGTTTAAGCGACGTATGCAAGTCTATAGAAGGTTATCCAGGTAGATATTCAAATGAAAGAAAAAATAAGCGTTAAGTCAAAATAGCAAACCAGCCACAGCTTAGAGTTCCCGCACCGAAACGACGGATGTTCAGCAACCTACCAGAAATACGGTGCTCCACACGAACACTAATCACAAGCCGCATCAAAAGCAAAAGACATCATGACATGAAGATAAATATTAAACCGCGCACGAGCTAAGTCACAGCATTGCTTCACACCAGAGACAACTGCAAAATCATCCGAGATCTCTTCACTCAGCTGCACTCTCGCCTGCATGCTACTGTGCAGACTTTCAGTTAAACTTACAAACTTACTCGGACAGCTAAACTTATCCAACACAAGCTACAGTGCCTCGCAGTTCACCGTATCAAATGCTTTGTTGAAATCAACAAACAGCAAGTACGACGGCTGGTGTCGTTCTCTGCACTTCTGCAACTGACGAGCGGCAAACACCATGTCCATTGTGCTGCAGTGACTGATTTAAACATGGCTATCAGTGTTGCGTGAAGAAGTCTCCCGCGGTGCATGGCAGTGGCAATCCTATTCCACCAAAATTCGATGGAATCGTGGCAACTAAACGTCTGCAAACAAAATGCGGTTCAGAGAACATCTTCCGCATACCTGTCCAGGAGTGTTCTCAATAAAACGACGGAACAGTCCTCTCGACTGCCTGGTATGCTACCTACCCACCAATTAGGGTGGCTTCTCGGCTACCACTTGACATTGATTGAATGGTAACCTGGCGACTTTCAGATAATCTCGGTGATATATCTCACTAGATACCATTTGCCATACTGGTTCTTAAACGAGGGTGTTAAGCTTTAAGCCCTCACCATCCGATTCTCATTGCTATGTTATTCTTCGATCAGTGTATGGTTTACGGCTACCTGGCTGATCCGTGGTCTTCCTTAAAGTTGCCTTGCGTTATTGCCTCTCACTTTTCGTCCTACAGTCTGCTCTGTTGTCCACGCCCAATAATTCCCCGCACAGTACAATCTATGTTCTAATTCGTATTCCTCTTTGTAATTCACTGGGAGACATTCTGTTTGCTTTACCTATGAGACAGGATGGTTAATTTCTTTCTCCACGCAGTGCTTTTCATTGAACTCATCCATTCCACAGCAGCCCCATCAAATATGCGGCAATTATTTGATTACCAATTTGTTTGTCTTTGTCAAAGCTCCTTGTGCACTGTTTGTACTCATTGTCGCTTGTTGGGTAGTCAAGCGTAGGTTGAATTCGCAGCAGTGGTCTTTCTCCTCTGAATTTTCACTCACGCCTTTTTGATACCTTTTTCAGCTTGATCATATCAACTGCCACGCCACATCAACTCCTCTAGGCGACACTATCGAGTTGGCTGCTGTGTCCCGCCTTTTGGTGGATTATACAGGGAAGCGACGAGCCGACACTTTACCCCCCATCGTGATCAATTCAATCAAAGGTCATTTGGGTCACTTACTTGGTGGTGCAGGTGCGGTGGAATCCATATACACCGCGCTGGCGGTTAACCGTGGATTGATAGCTGGAAATCGTAATTTGCACAACCCCATCGGTTTCTCCCAAATTGAGTCTATTCTCAAGGGCAAAGAAGATAATGGACAATTCGTGCCGCAGGTTGCAGCTAATGCTAGTCAATATGTCAAAGTACTTGAGCGTCAGACGATTCTCCCGCGACATGACGTTACAAATGTGCATTTCCCGGATCGAACTTCGTCCAATAAGCGACGAATTGCCCTGAAAAATTCCTTCGGATTCGGCGGTACGAATGGGTCATTGGTTTTTGCCGAGTGGAAGGAATGATTCTGCTGACAATGGATCATTTCACCTCCAGATTACCTCCACAAAATTCGCCTTGTCTGCTTTGATGACCTGTTTTAACTTTTTGACAGTTTATTTTTTGATTTTATTATTGTCACATTGAGCTTTTTGATTCCGATTTATAGTTTTGGGTTTTGTTTCCTTTTCATTTTCTGTAGTACCTTTGGTGTGTAAATACTTCCAATTCATCCTTTCGCTCTGGCTTTTTCACCACTTGATTTGTATGAACAATAACGAAAGAGCAGTATTCTGATCACTGTTGCGTGTTGTTTCAAATTTGTGCTAAATGACGCAGCTCTGAGTTTGCATCCTGCCCATTTTTTCACCAGGGGAATTCGTTCGTACCCATGGGGCATTGTGTTCGAACCCGGGACTTCAGACCAGCTCTAGCAAACCCTGGATTTCAGTTTCATAGCTAAGGCGACTGCGATGTTACAGACTGGATTTCCTGAATTTTAACCACAAATTGGGCATCCTTATGTTTGCTACAATACTGTCGGGTTCCTAATCTAAACTCCATGCGTTTATTTCTTACGTTTTCAACTCTTACATTCTCGATTTCGTTGGAAGCAATAACGCCTCTACGTGGCTGCACACCACCCTTATGCTCTGCTATGTGCCTACACGACCCATTGAATTTGGTGAACCTCTTCCGTTGGGTGCTTTACTGTCTAGAAGAAACCATGTTAGCTCAGTCTCAGCGTTCTGTCGGTCGCACTTCAGTTCAGTTCACCTCGTCATCTTTGGTCATTGAGATGTAGTAGATCCAGTCAACTTCACACACCTCGCTTTGGTAATGCTGCAAATAACAGCAAGGATGATGATAGTAATGTGAGAGGAACAAAAAATTTTAGTCCTTAGATGGAATCCCTGTGTTCCGGAGTAATGGAATACACGCAAACACTCTATATCTCATAAGTTGACAAATCACTGATGTAGTCGGTTCGAAGGACTCCGTTTGGAAATCGACGAGCGCGCCAGCTCGACGAAGTCTTTCGATGAGTTTCCTCGTACTATTCCATGTTAATGGCTAACCAATGTGACGTTCGCCCGATGTAGACGCGGTATTGGTAAACAGTGCATACTGAGACAGACGGCTCGCAGGCATGCGGAGTGTGTGCTCGAGTCTCCCGAGGCACCGGTTGGTCTGTGTACAAGCACCAGATGTCCATTCATGTCAAGTCAAAATGGCTCTCTGAACCCCAGGTGGTTTATTTTAACCAGTTACACTTCCGCTGCAGACAAACTGGATGGTACAATCAATACAATCTACATAAGTGGGGAGAAATATGAAATATATACATAGCTGTCACTCCGACAAACGCTCAAACGGGATGTTTATGACCGTTGGGTCAACACGCAAACGTGATAGGTAAGGCAGGACAGTGTTATCATACGATGACGTGCGGAAGATTGAAATTTTACCTTTCGGACGCTTAGAAGTGAAAGAGAACGTTTCTGAAAGTTCGGTGTTCAGTGGGTGTAATCGGTCATTTATTGCCTTAGAAGAAAGATTATTGCGGACATCAAGATGTATAGAAATGGTGAAACCAATTACAGTATGTCTATCTAAGCCGTTGCACCTAGAAATGTAGCCTTTTTGAAGCAGTCCAAGAAGATGACAAGGGATTAGTATAACCAGTGGGGGAGAATGCAAGAAGTCACAAACGTACGTATTAAAGTATGGGGTATCAAAAACATCTGATCGTATACAAAACACTTTTATGGCTTTATGTAAATTTTCACAGACATGCGTGGACCAAAAAATGTTCTGGGACAACAAGGCTCCTAGATACTTGACTGTGGCCGATTTGGGTATGGGATTTCCGTTCACAGTAAGGGTGGGGGAGATATCCATGAGGGATTTCAACTTATCGCCACGAAGAAAAGCAACTATTACATCACTGCATTTAGAAGCGTTAGGTGTGAGGGGTCTGGATGAAGACCACTCCACCAGTTCTGATTCACATTGAAGTGATAAGGAATCCTACATGGTTTGTATAGTGAGACATTCAACATATAAGGAGAATAGAAAAGGTGATAGCATCGCTCCTTGCAGGACACCACATTCGGCACGGAGGACAGAGGATTTTATTCGTGATGTTAGTACGATCCATAAAATAGTCACGCAACAGATTACTTACACCCGGGTGAACTCTATTCTCGGATAACAGGTTGAACAATATTGACCTGCCAACCTGTAAAAGGCATTCGAATAATTAAAGAAGAGAAGCAGTACTGATTTATATTTATGCTCTAGTGCAGACGCCATGCTACTGCATTTAATGTAGAGCGTTGGGGTCTATATGCAAACAGATAGATATCGTCAGCAGAAAGGGCTGTGAAAAGCCTTGGAATTGGCCATTTTTCGGAAGCTTTCAGGAGCACAGATGTACTCGCAGTCGCGCGATAATTTTGAGATCCATTTTGGTGTTATTCTGCCCGATCTCCAGATGGCCATTATCATACCCATAGTGAAGCATTTGTTAAAGTGATCAGTTGAAATTCGTGTGACGGAATCAATACTCTTTCAAAGCTAATAGCGAGAGAGAGCATCCGGACCACAAGCTTTGTTTGCCTTTAATCTTTTGGGTTCCTTGTGAACGTTGCTTTGATCCTAAGGCGCTGGTGTACTTGAGGTAATGAAGGAGGGCAAGCGGTGCACTTGGTGAGGCGGAATTAGTCTTAGGATTTAGTTTATCCACATCCACTTCACCGCTTTGGCTGTAGACGTGCCTCAAATGTCTCCATAGCCCACGACAGTTTTTGTGGCTTAGAATTGATTCGACGTGTAGGTGGTTTATCCTCTTTGTCTCAGATTAAATTGCTGTGGTTAGTATAACCATTTTGCAATTGTAATCCCGTTCTTTCATCCTCTATCGATGTTTGTTCAGCCTCTGAGCATGTCAAAGCAATATTTTTTGTATTGTGTAAGATGTTCACATTGAAGAGACGGGTCATCGTCATTGAAGACTGTAAGAAACATTGTCTGTACTCTTGTGATATTCCCAACGTAGCAATTACCCCGTTTTGTTTCATGTTATAAGGGCGTCTAGCCAGCGTGAAAAAAGTACATCTGCACAAAGGTCTGAGCTGCTCAAAGATGCCCGTTTTTCTATGGAAAAACTGCCGTTGATGTATAAAGCGTCCAACTGGGTATCTTGTCTGGTGGAAAAGATCACTTGATGTACCAAGCCAAAAGTCCAAATGAGTGTTGTATTCTTTGTATTGAAGTCGTCAGGGACCATTCGGATAATCCACTATAAGCAGTAGGACCGAAGAAATTTAGTCCTCAAAAAGCTTCAACTTTGGTGCAGATGCGTCAACAGCAACGTAAGCGGTGACCGATTGAAATCCGCTTAATAACTTTGATTTGCATTCAAATAATTGGCAACTTATATACGTCCTTAAGTATGTGCATAGTAGGGTTTCTGAATTACACCAACATTGAGTAAAGTAAGTTGTAACGCCATCACCACGAAAGTGTGGCTTTCCAGGGCGGTCAGACCTGATGGAAAAGTAACTATCGAGTTGAATAATCCCATTTTTCCACATCAGTATGCAACCAAATTTCTTGTAACGGAATGATTCTTGTGTTTACCACACATTTCACTGCATAGTAGCACTGAGATCACTGATTTTACCAAAATGCAACCGCATATCACTGGAAAGTCTCGGTAGGACTTACGCTTTCTCGACAGAACAGCAATTGAGGCCAAATTGCCAACCTACACGATACTTCGCTTTTTTCCAAGGTGTTTCTCCATGATTCGTTTAAAGTTGTTCCTGGCTTTGTGACCACATTCGGCGAGGCACGGATTTCGGGCATTAGCCCGTAACGTTTTCAAATGATTGACCGAGTAGGACATGATTGACCTTGATGCTAGTTCAGGAAAAATTGTCTCAATTATATAAATAAGATGCGAAATCCGCAGTCCGTAGTGCAAAATAATATTCCAACATGAACAGCGAAGGCTGGATTTGAAGACCCCGCCACACTCACTCGGTTGTCCTACCAGATATGAGAAATACCTCGCTGACAGAATGATCAAACACGATACGTTTCTTAATTTCCCCAACACACAGATGCCAGGTATGATTCTTAGCGCAACATTGGTTATATCGCGGAGGTGCAAACTCTTCTCTTAACTGCCTCACCCTACGTCTGCGTAAATGGTTTAGGTTTTATAAACCTCACGATCAATTGTTCATTTGTTCTCCGAGCTTGGCGGTTTTCTCGCAAACGTTTCACCACCATGCGAGGTGGCATCCTCAGTGCAGTGATATGTAGCGTGCAAGTTTACTAAATGAGTCCTCCATCCATGATCGACCTGCAGGTGACTTTGAACGTGGCAGTGTCGATTTAGGTCCCGTGACCTCTGCCCAAGGTCGAGCATGGATGGAGGACTCATTTAGTAAACTTGCACGCTACATATCACTGCAATGAGGATGCCACCTCGCATGGTGGTGAAACGTTTGCGAGAAAACCGCCAAGCTCGGAGAACAAATGAACAATTGATTCATCAACCCGAGCTACCAGTGTTTCAAAACAGTTTAAACCTGACGATCCTTAGCATAAATTGCAGTAATCTCTCCTTTGGTGTGACAGATTACACAGCTAACTAATTTAGTAAACTGTCCAACCACGTCGAGCGATGTGTCGGTGATGCGGAGGACTGAAGGTTAAGCTTTCCGGTCTTCTTCACACCTTGGAAGTGCAGATTATACACTAAAACGTGCAGCGCTACTTATCAAACTATCCAGTAGTACCCGCAAACAATTGCGTCCCACCTGAAGGTATCTCTCGTCCGCCCCCCACTAAATTTAGCGGTGGACCGTCCAGCTAAACATCAATCTCAGGAAAAGTTGTGCGGTAATGTAGTGCTGTCGCACTCAATTCGTCATAACCGAATCGGGAGAGTTTCTCGTTTACCCTTACCCGGTCACACGAGACGTGGCATGGGGAAACTTCTCGGTCACGCCACAAACAGATGCGACCCACAAACTCAAATTCGAGCGTGACTTCTATCTTTGGTTGGTTGGTTCTCTGTGGGGATGGTGATGTTCAAACTTCTGTCTGTGCAGAATATTGACAGTACGCTCTGCCGGCACAGAACCGAAGTTGACTTTTACTGATTCATTTCTCATGTGGA